TTTCATTTGCCACAGAGAATAATCCACAAAATTTTTCGAGCATGTTGTTACAACTAAACTATATTAGCCCCTTTGTTGTAATGTACCCAGCCACTGATCAGAATAAATGAGGTGTTGGTTTACAATACAGTAACCCAAATCAAAGTCAGTTAGCCAGGATGATAAAATAAAACAGAAATATACTGAGAAAAACCAATTAAAAGAAACAGCAATAACTCAACGTTCAAATCAAATATGCTCAACATCTCAGTCCCCACAGTTTATTATTATTTTTGTTTGTTTTCAATGTACGTTCACTCTTTGGACACAACAATATATTTTTTTGTCTCTCAAAAAATACAGGAATCATGCAAATATAACTTTTTTTTCTTTAATGTAGTACACAAAGTTAAGCTTCCTCTGTTCTTGATCCTTTATGACACGTTGCAAGCTAAGATTAATCCCTGGATTCCCCCGAAAACGAGTTAAACGACCGACCAAATGAAAACCAGACAGCACGCAGACGTATCAAGAGATCAGGCTGAGTAAAAAAAAACATTGATAGAAGTATTTACCATTGTCATTATTCTTGTTTTCTTTTAAATCTTGTATACAAAATTCACAGATATTTCACAGATTAAGTCTTTTGCACCATCTTTGGAAAGTGGGTCCAATCAGGTGGCAAACCTTTAGCCCAGCTCGGCTCAGTGATGGGATTTTCACCTAATCTTCTGCTCAGAAACCAGATTATTTAAAGGTAACATATAGAGCCGAATACATTCTTATGACATTGCTAAAAGAAGTGAGAAACCTTTGAGAAGATAAAATGAAAAACTACATTTTTTTAAAGTATTTATTTCTTCATTTTACTAGTGCTTGGCAATCAAAAAGAAACCAATGGCAGTGCTCAGCCCTTGAACAATGATAAGCAGGAAATCAGCCAAATGTTTCATTTGTTTCAGCTGACTTAGGCAAATGCACATCTGAGAAGCAGACACACACAAAACGGCATGTGTTAAATTTTATTCCACAAGCCGTTCTGTGGCTATTATGAAAAGACAGTTTTTAACTAATCAAATATGGCACATTATCCACTCAGGCTAATTTCCCTCACCAAAAGCTAAGAGACTTAACAGACGAAAAGACTAAAAGATATCAAATTAAACTGTCAGCGCTGACACCTCCATTAGTATTAATCCAAGATGTAAGTCTGAAAGTTTTAAAAATGAGCTGCTTTTACTTGTTAGATTTCCTGAAATCAGTTCTAATCTCATTCTTTCATTACGTTAGTTAAGCTAAGCACTGATTCATGCATAGAAATGTTTAGTGACGCCATGCTTTCACATCTTCTATCACAGATGTCTGCCTGCATTCAGCCACAATCCCGCTCAGTGCCCTTTTCCACCCAAGAACCTTGAACGTTACCTGCCTCACAGGAAAAAAAAAAGTCATTTTAGCTTAGTCAACGTGTGAATCATTCTGACTCACAGCGTTTCTATCGTCTACTCCTCTTGAATGAGAAAGAGAAAGAGCAAGGGAGACTAGAGGGAGTTGAATGTTCAAAAAGTCACGCTGGTACATCATGCCTGTGAATACATTTCGAAATGATGCTGATTACTCATCAAGGAGTTGTTTCACTTTAACTGGGAGCGATTAAAGGATGTTGGAGACAATAAATAAAGAACAGTATTAAAGCATTACAACAATTCCATGTTTGAGAATTAGGCTGATCTTAAAATGTACGTTGTTTACACTGTAAAAATAACTTGTCAAATAAACGCAAGTTTAAAATTGTTCACTTTTTTTTTTTTCCCAAGATGGAGCAACTAACCTGTGTATTGACTGTTTTGTTTTATAGTACACCACTACAGATAACAGACTGAAACTGGAAAAAAAAAAAAAAAAGTCTTGTAGTTTGTAGTGAAATACAGACATAGTGAAGAATCCCAAGCCATTATAACCAAAAAAAAAAGAAAAGATTAAACAGGAATAGCACAGTACACAGTTTTGTCACGTGTGGAAATGTGAGCAAAGTAAGTCATCTGTGAAAATAGTAACAAACAGCATTTTCAGTCATTTAACTATATTTTGTCAGAAATGAAGATGAATGGCTCCTGGAATGATAATCGAACTACATTAAACTAACTCTCTGTTTCGATTTCTGTAAACTTGTAATGGCAGTTGAGACTGTTTTGGGTCAAACGCTTTGTGTATCTTTTGTCTGGTCAGAGAGGCTTTTAAATGATACCAGGAAAATACAAATTAAATTCCAAAATGTCCTAGATTTGGTGAAAATTGTTTGCATTTTTTGGGAAAATGGTATTTTTTTAAATAACAAAAGAGCAGCAGAAAATGAAAGATCTCTACGTTAAACAGTGGCGTATCCCAGATATACCAGTACTAAAACACCACAGTGAGCTGAATGTTGACCCTGAATGTAGCCACAATTATTTTGTTAAAATAGAATATAAAAACAAGAAAAGATATTCAGCAACTACAAAGAGGAAAAAGAAATAATTTCTGAGTTACACTGCCATACTTGTACACATCCTGCTCAACTTGCATTCATTCATGAGATTAAATAATGTGCTAAAAGTCAAGCAGCTGAAGCAAAAAGGGTAAAATACAAACTAAAATACTGTATGCGTTCTGGACTCATGTCCTGCATGAAAGATAATTTCTCCTGTTTCCAATTTAAAAACATCAGAGCAGGCTGCGTTCAGCATTCTGTTCACATATTGTCACTTCATTGGAACTGTGGCAGCAGGAAAGAGCCGAAAAAGAAGTGAGTATTGGAAAAAAGTTTGAAATGCTCTTTTTAACATGACAGCTTTGAAGTAAAATGGGGAACCATAGCCACAATTTAAACATTCACATTTTGAGGATTGGATTTCTCTGATGACAGGAAATCTGAATGCTGATGACACATCATACAGGGATATGACACGTAGATAACTTCAAGAGAAAAAGCAAGAAAAGTTGATGTTTCTATACAAAATATAAAATAGGACAATGTAATGGTTGTGTTAGTGAGAAGAGCTGTAGATATAAGGGTCATCACATGCCTGTGATACAGACTGTGAGGAAAAAATAATGAACATGTATGACATCTGTACATTTGTACATGCCGTTAATAATCTAGCATTGTTCAGACTCAGACAACCAGCCACAGGGCAAAATATCAACAAATAATAATTTCTGTCAGTTTGGGCATATACAAGATAATCCGACAAGGCATGCCAACACCTGCTTACAATGACCACTGTGTACCAAACAGTTACACACACAATTATGAGGCATAAAGTGCAAGTGGACATGCCTGTCACAAGTTAGTTAATTAGGATATCAATTATAAACAACAATAGCATTGATTTCCAGAAACGAGCAGACACATTGGCAGTAATTAAAAGTGTCCTTTCTCCACTGTGCCTCATTCATTTTTAATGTTAGAGAAAGGATTTGGAATGTCCTGTGGTACTAATTTTAAACAATGACAACAGATCTCCCCATAGCAATGCTTTAATTCACTTACATTCACTCTAGACTCAAATATTTGTATCGCTCTGATTGTTTTTACGTTCCCTCGTTCTTTTGCCTTTAGTTTCTCTTGGTCAACGTCACATACACTGCATTTCACATTTCTTGCAGATTTTTGTAAAGATACACAGTACAAGCTGATTCATCACTGTAATTAATACACAATTAAATCATCTCAATAAAACCTTTAGAAAAGTGCCACTCACAGCGATAATTAAGAACATTGGATGAGCAGCTTTGTGGAAAGGTTGTGAACATTTAATACCTTACCTGTTGTAGATAGCTCTGGACTGATGAGCTAATGGCTAGTCCAAGCAGGGCCAAGACCAAAATAAAGCTATCTGTAGCACTTCCTGTGCAGCCTTGGTACTTCCTTCAGGAATATAATAACAATAAAAATGTCATGTGAAACAGATTTTTGCGTAAACATTTAAATAGCTGTTGTTTTAAGATGGCAGCAGTATGAGATTTGACACTCATATTAACCATTAGCTCATCTTTTCAGTGCGAATTAAAGCTCATTTCTCTAAACTATGATTTTTTTTAGAGCGCTATGAACAAGTAAATATATTTTGTTCATTTATTCCTCGCAAAACCCAACAACAAAATATCTGACCTTTCCCTTTGAGGGAAATAATCTCCACTAAATTGTTCTAATTTCTGGTTCTAGATATGGCCACAGTTGTATTCAGTCTCTCATTCTTTACTGAATAGACTTGCAAAACCATGTAAAATGGTATTTAGAAACATGTTTAAAACTTTGGCAGTAGTTCTTCCTTTTTCCTAAATGTTGTTGCTCATCATACCTTTCCTGTTATGCAACCTAAACCTTGTTTGTTTGACTTGTTTCTTATCGGCCACTTTCATTTTTTAAGCAATTGCTTTGGGAATGCAAAATATCAGCCTTAAAATGTGTGTTAGAGGGACAGGGACTACAGTAAAATTGTACATAAATAATAACTTTGTGCCTTGTCAAATATAACAGGACACTGATTGTACCCATTCCATCCCGTCAAATTCACCATTCTTTGAGAAGCTGCAAATGGATGTAGAATCCAACATACAACAGGAAACATATTGAATCAAACAAACTTTAAGCTTGAGATGAAACATGGCACTCATAAATAGAAAAAAAAGATCCCAAAGCATGATTAGATTAAAAAGTACTAAATTACAAAGTTTGCATTTGTTCCCTGTATAATAGTTCAAATCCACAACATTAAATAAGAATGTAAAAGTGCTACCAAGAAGTGTAAAACAAAACACTGTAATGACTCTCCGATCCCAGGCACAGTTTCAGAGTTCTTGCTTTAAGCACAATATTCTATATACCTAGCATGCCAAAAAAGGAAAAAAAAAATCCCCAAAGGCAACATTTGACCTACATTTTCCTCCTTGAAAACTTCAAATGGTTTCACTGGCCCTTGGGCTGATCAGGAAAATAAGTACTGAAACTTTATTTCACATGGTGCTCAACTCTGGTCCCCAGTCACAACTTCTGCTGAGCAGATACACCCTTCCAATAATCAAGAATGTCATGTAGGTCCTCGCCTTTAGCAAACTGCACCTTCTTTCGAAGAGCATTTCCAGCCGTCACATAACAAGACTCGTCACGCGGGCCTTTTCGGTATGGACGAAAACGCTCCCAGATCCGCAGTGAGCTCTCTGAGGAGTACTCTGGACTCGAAGAGTATCCAGAGTAACTGGTGTGGTGGCGAGCAGGGGAAAGCTGGGAATATGATGCTGCGTCCCTGCGGGAACGCGTCAAAGGTTTTAGAAAAGAAACTCTTTGGGCTGGGGAGCCTTGGTGTGACCCTTGGTAGTAGAGAGCCGGGACGGAGTGGCGGTGCTCCGAGCAGTGGTAGTCCTGCTGCACCTCCAGCTGCTGCTGCTGCTGTATTTGTTGTTGCTGATGGTAGTGATGTGACTTCTGATTGTCCTGATGTTGGGCACCAACACCACCACTGTCGCAACCGCCACCACCCCCTCCACCACAACCCCCACTCCCCACTAATGGTAGCCTTTCCAGTGGCTCCCCACAGCCCACAGGACTGGCTCGGTCTGGGAACTGCAGCTGTTGTTGATTACAGGCATCGGGACTTCTTGGTTCAGGAACATCCAAACTGTACACCCTAGCTGCTCCTCTGTCCCTGTCTCGACCCATGGAGCCACAAGATGTGGTGCTGCTCTGCTTCTTAACAGCATTTGCCATCACAACAGCTGCATCTGCACTCATTTGCCTTTGAATTGGACGTGCAGCAGTAGCTGGAGGTGGGTGCCTATAGGGGGGAGAAACAACAAAGCCACCACCACTGATCCCTGGGCGCTCAGAGAGGGGAGTGTTTAATGCAGGAAGTGGTGGAGGTGGTGCTATTTTATTTGAAGTGTGACTCTGACATGACTCTGTCACCCCGGAGGAGATGGGGATTAGGCCACGAGTAAGAGAGGACGTGCTAGTTGGTGGTGGGGAGGTGGGATTAGATGAAGCAGTAGGGTTAGCTGAAGTGCTTGAAGCAGCAACTGCTGCTGCATCCAGCTTCAGAGCATCTATACAGTTGTTAATTATCTGATTTACTTTGTCTACTTCCATGGCAATTGTGGAGATCTCTGAAGCGGAGCCATGTCCATCATCGTCCGAGTCATCGCCAAGATCAGTTCCATCATCATCCCTCATGTCATCCCCTCTCCTCCCTCCATGTCCACCATCTCCCACTCTGTCCATCCCTGCTCCTCCAGTTCTCACATCCATATAGTTTCCTTTACTAGTAGCCATGGCTTCTGAGAAAGCACTAGCTAGCTTTTCCACTTGAGGGATAGAAGAGAGCCTTGAAGATGTGGTGTTGGCTGAATGGAGCATGCCAGAGCTTGATGAGGTGGACAGTTTTCCTCCATGGTGGTGTTGATACTGATGGTGCTCCCTGGACTGCTCCTGCAGCTTATGGACTGCTGATGGATCATTGGCCACTGCTGCTGCCACCTCTGGACCATAGCGCATTTCCAGTATAGTCTTCTTGACACAGATAGACTTCTTCTTCTCGTCATGCATCCGTTTCTTGCGTAGACAATAGTAGACAATTCCTAAAATAATAAGCATGCCAAAAAGACAACCTACAATGGTCATTATGTAGTGTGTAGTGGTTGAAGATGAGGGCACCAAATCATCTGAATTTTGACCCCGAGTGGAAAACTGGAGACAGGTGTGATTATAGCGTTGTGAGTTGCGGATGGAGGCTACGCAGAAGGTATAATTGTTGTTAGGTTTTAGCTTCTGGAGCTTGATCAACTCCTTCTTGTTTTTCAAATTCATAACATCCGACACAAATGTAATATTGTACTGTGTCAGGATATACATTTTGCTGAAAGGTTTTGGAATCTTCACAATGAGAGAGGCTGTTGAAAACGAAACATGATGGAGCTTGATGCTGGGACTGACACCATCATCAACAGATGAGGGTGAGGTGGTGGGCTGAAGGTAATAAGGTCCCACTCCAGCAAACATCTCTGGTCCAATCCCAGAAGGACCGTCTAGATCTGGTGGGAGAGATGTCATTCCTGGGATCATCACGCCATCTCTGCAGTGATGGTGCAAAATGTTTTTGGCATTTCGGCCACCGTGACCAGAAGTAAAGGGACTTAGTAAGGGGTAGCCAAACATTTCTCGGGGAGTCTCACACTGAAGGCGGTCATAGGTGTGTGACACGTTGTTGAAGTACTCTAACCAGGTCAGGAAGCCATAAAGGTCGCAGCCACAGTGGAATGGATTTGCAGCCAATTCACACACCAACAGACGACTGAGAACTGTGAATGTGGACGGGTCAATGCGAGTGAGTTTGTTAGATGTCAAGTCAATGCTGCTGAGGCTGGGACACTCCCAGAATGCATTGCTGGCAATAACTTCAATTAGGTTGTGCTGCAGGAAGAGGTTCTGCAGGCGTCCGAGCCCTCTCATCATAGCTTCAGTTAAATTTGTCAACTTGTTGTAGCCCAGTTGAAGAACCTGAAATACAAAAACAGGCGTTGTGTTAGTTTTATCCCTTTATTAAAAATTGCAGTATTGAACTCATAAAGAATGTTGTAATTTTTAGTTCTCGTTACAGATTTAATTTAGTTCATTTATTTGAAATTTATTATAATGCATTTGATGTTTGGGTTCTAAATGATGACTAT